CTATTGGAGACAGGCTCAGGGCGTCTTCAATGGCTATGGCTAACGCTAAACCATGCATAGAGTTATTTGCATATAGCAGATGATGGCATGGTCATAATTGTCTCGTTTTAGCAACATATATGGCATGCTTGTCCATTTTTCAATAGATTGGGTGTAATAAGGAAGAATGAGTGGGGAGAAGAATTAAGTCGATTTCTAGGTTTGTCATAAGTCAAACTACTTTTAACCAAATTTATAAGTACATAACACTATATATGGCACCAAATTAGTATCACTAGATCTGTACATCATGAAATATATTTTCATAATATATTTATTTGGTGTCATGTTGTTAGCCTTTTCGATAACGTTGGTCAAATTTAAGATAGTTTGACTTTAGATAATTCTTGAAATTAATTTATTTTAGGACGGAGGGAATAATTAAGTTTCATATATTGGTGTTTTTTTTCTCGAACGTGCCTAAATGACACGTTTTTCATTAAGAAGAAGTAGAAGTTTCAGTACAAGTGAGCCAACGGTAATCCAGGGATTACCACTGAACTCACACAATAACAAGACCAACATAAGAAAAGATCATCAGTGCATTAAGAAAACCATTTAAATCATCAATTGAAGGGTCTTTTGTTCACGTGGCACTCTTCTCCGAAATGGCCTACACATACTCCTTTTTTTCTAAAAAAAGATCAGGAGGGTTACTGGTCTAGTACTTCAACACAAGAACTACTATCTTAGCTCAACTCTATATCTCTTCCTTCCGTACAGTAAATCAGTAATTTATGTGTGAAGCTAGTAGGACTCCTCTATAAGGCCTAATTATTCAAACCAAAACGATTATTAATGTATATTTCGTATACATTATATATGAATGAAAGTGCTTTTTATCATATGGACGCGTGGTAACATGGATTAAAATGCTGGGTTACTTATGGCGTTTGTGCATGCCAATGATAGTGCACTAGTACATATCATGCATCATCCATTGATCGAAGCAGCAGGTGCTAATGATCGATGGAGACGAGGTGGTGGACTGTGGTGGGCTGGCTTTGATCATCCCCGGGCCGGGCATCAACCATCATGGATCGTCGTCAAAGACGACTCAAAGTCTCGCGGGCGCGCGCATGGGCATCATCATGCATGGGCGCACTCCATCATATCTTAACCCTGCTGTGTAATGTGATTTCAAGTGGCACGCACGCGCCAATTAGCAGCACGTTCTGTGGGGTATAACTTCTGATGCCCATAGGGCTGTACATGGGCCGAGCCGTCAGAGAAGGCTTAGCTCACTGGACTACGCCGCACGGAGCACGACATAGGACGGCGTGTCTCGCAAGACTGCGTGAAGATCCTTGGCGATTAAGGACGATCTATTCGGATATGCTAGATTCCGCAATCTCTATAATTTCTATCTTTTAAACCGATCAGGATAGAAACAACCGACCTGTAACCCTACCCCCGGGCTATATAAGGCGGGTAGGGACCCCATCGTTTTCATCTAATATCTCATAATACAATCCACAAAGACACATGACGTAGGGTATTACGTCAAGCTGACGGCCTGAACCTATCTAATCGCTGTCTCTTGCATTCTGTGTCACCATCCGGTTCCCTTACGCACACCTCCACCGATTCATCTACTACCGTGGGCATACCCCTCGGTAGACTGCCGAACGTATTTCGTCGACAGTGGCGCGCTAGGTAGGAGGTGTGCGTGCTGAGTCCATGGTGAGCCAGATGATCCGTTTTCCGAGCTCCATGGCCTTTCCCGAGCCAGGCCAGATCTTCACGGTAGGATCCATGACCTGGGTCATCGGCCCCAACGGCGATGAGGAGATCGTGGAGGCGGTGCAGGATCACCCTACGCCGATCGCGTCAATACCTGCAACGACATCTCCGATCCCGACGCCCCATCGCTGGGTTAGGAGATCCATCAGCAACGATGATCTCTTTCCACGGTGCCTCCATGATATATGCTCACTAGGTTTTCCATCTATTAGTTCATACACAAATTCAAATACAGATCGTTTAGTCCAAAGTAGTTTCATATAGTACCTATCTAATACATACTAACTAACGACAACCTAAGTAAATAGGTTAATAACTAAGTATATAGATATAATCTAGTAACTAAATAGCTGAATCCTACATAAATAACTAAATATACAACTAGCTATCTAACTATATATATGTACCTATGTATGTATCTATCTACATACCTATCTCACTAAGTAAATCAACTACCTACGTCATCACATTTACTAGTAAGTACCAAATAATCAAACTAGAGCTACAATTCAAGCTAAGTACCGACATTGCATATTCACAAATTTTACCTGTCCGATGAATGCAACAAACAGAGCAGGCGACGTTGGAGGCGAAAAGCACTAGCCAAACTTGCCGGCCATGGCGGGTGCTACAGCCTTGCAGCCGAACAACAGCCCCTCCCGTCGTCCCTTTCCAAGGTCTGCCCTCGGCACTTCGAGGGCCAGCGGCAGCAATGGAACGGATGGCGGTAGGGATCGGGCGGTCGGCGGGGAGGGGCCGGCTCGTGGACGCCGGGGCATGGGCCGGGGTCGCGCCCGGGCGAAGCAGACTTGCCACGCGGACAATAGGATCGACGACGAGGTCGCGGTGCGCTGGGAGCAAGAGGACGGGGTCGGCGGGCGGGCGTGGCGGCACGGGCGAGGTGGGGGCGGCTGGCGTGGAGGACCAAGCGTGGGCGTGGTGGTGCGGCACCGGCGGCAGACGGGCTCGGGAGTCGCACGAACAAGAGAGAAGAAAAGAGGAAGAGGAAGAGGAAGAAGAGAGAAAGGAAAGGTAGCCCACATGTTAGGCAGGCACGGTGCCAATGATGTAGGCGCCAAGCTCGGCGCCAGGATCTACGGCGTCAAGCCCGACGCCAATATCTATGGCGCCGAGCTGGCTGCCACGTCTGCCTCGGCGCCTGCGTGGGCATAAGACCTAGGCGCCAATTACTATGGCGCCGAGACGTGTAATCTTGGCGCCGATTACTACGATATCGAGTTGAGGGCATAGATTTTAAAAGCATGGACATGTTTGTGACAAACTTTAAAAAAAAGGCAAAAAAAAAAATCGTCCGTACAGTAGAGGAGGCCACGATCGAACGCACGCGGAGACACGTGTACGAGCGAAACGCAGAGACAAATAAACACAAGGCGCTAGTAGGAACTAGGAAGAGGCCCTGCTGGTGCTGCCGTGCCCGTGTACAGGCAGTGGGCTGGAAGAGGCGCAGAGACCGTGTGTGCAAGTGCAACAACGACGCAGTACCGTACCGTACGTATACAGTGCAGGCACACAGCTAGGACGACTAGGGAGGAGGTAGCAAGCGGCCGACCAGACACGGCAGCTGCATGCCATGGCAGCGCTCGCAGCAGTATACAGGGAGGGAGAGCAGCAGGAGAGATGAGTGCTCTGCCTTGCTGCTTGGCGTGCGCATGCATCTTGCATTGGGCTGGAGCGGAGTTGTAGCCACCGCACGCACGCAGGATCTTCACTCTGCAGCTCCATCCATCAGTTCAGGAACTTAAGGGGCATACAAGTCGTTTATAAATTTCAAATTCAATCAAATTTTAAGAGAAATTTGTATCTGCACCGGCGGCCGGCTCATCATCAGCTAGCTGTGGCGCATGCAGATAGGTACTAGCACGCATCGGAATGGATTCCATGGATGGACCGACCGATCCAGTAGGTACCTACGTAGCTGGGGGCTAAAATAAGGCTGGTGGTCTTGCGCGGCTGCCAGGACTATTTATGTGGTGTTCACAAGAACTATTTTTCTTTGTCCTCTCTCCTTCTCTGACAGAGCGGGTGAATTAAGAATTAAGCAAAAAAAAAAAAAAAAAACTGGCTCCAACGGCTCTTTGAGAGATGGAAAGAGAGTAGTGTATGTGTCAGAGAATTAACCTAGGCCTTATTTAGTTGGTAAAATGTTTTGGGAGATGGTGTGATAGAATCTTTTTGTTGTTTTTTGAAATTAGCATGTCCTAAACACGGGCTTAATAGTGTTCAAAGAACTATTTTTCTCTCGTCCTCTCTCCTTCTCTAACAGAGCGGGTAATTAGTTTTATTTTTTATTTATATTTAATGCTTTATGCATGCGTCCAAAGATTCGATGTGATGAGAAATTTTAAAAAATTTTGCAAAATTTTGGAAACTAAACACTACCCTAGAGCTAATGGAGATCTGCCAAACCGGACCTTAGTGTTGGGATGTAGGGACTAAAATTTAAAAGGTGTCACATCGGATTTCGTATGAAACCGTTCGGATAGTTTTAAATTTATATTTAATGCTTCCATCGGTAATCCAAAGATTCGATGTGACGAAATTTATCAAGCCTAATTAATCCGCCAACTAAACACACCCTTTTGTGTAGCACACATTGTCAAATCATGATCTAATTAGGCTTAAAAAAATTCATCTCGTAAATTAATCTTAATCTGTATATTTAGTTTCTTAATTAGTCTACGTTCAGTAGTTTATGCATGTATCTAAACATTCTACAGGACACCTACTAACTAACTTTAGGAGATGAACCAAACGTACTGCTCTTACCTGCTTATTGCCTATATATAGCTGGCTGGTGATGAGCGCTCGTTGCGCATTCCATCCATCACTTGCCTATCCTATCCAAACTTGCAAAGGCCGGAACACGGCAGGAGCGAGGTAGGTCGCTAGCTAGCTAGCCCCGACCGTACCGTACGCGTACCAGTGGCTGCTCGCTGGATCCAAGACATTTTTCCCTTGTTCCATTTCCATACAATAGCAGTGTAGCTAGTCGTCTTCTTCCCCGGGCGGAGCCGGAGAGCGTGCGCGCCGTGCTGCCTGCGTACGTCACACGCACGGTAGCTGTACTGCGCGTCTCAACTCTGGACTGGGCGAGTTGAAGGTGTACATACATCAAACAAGCTAGAGGCAGGCCGGCCGGCCGGCGCCCAGCAGCAGGGAAGGGGAGAGGCGGCGGCGGAGGAAGCCAATAGAAGAAGATGCTGGCCTGCATCGCGTGCGTCAAGGAAGAAGGGGGCGGCCGGGACCGGGACCGCGAGGACGGCGGCGCGCGCTCGGGTGGCGGCGGCGGCGGCGGCGGCGGCGACACCCCGACATGCAGAGACCCCGTCAAGTCGCTCACCTCCCAGGTGCGTGCGTAAGTCCGATTCAGCTCCCTATCCTTTTCTTGCCTGCCACCATTGTTGCTGCTGGTTGGCTTGTTTTCTTCATTCATTCCGATCCCTGGCTTGCGTCCGACCAGTCTTGCATCATACAGATACGGTATCCGTAGGGAAGAGGAACGTACAGCTAGGATTTATGTTTGTGGAAAGTGGAAACACTAATGATCGTGCGTGAAAACACTAAAGCTAGGCTTCTGGCATGATTTATTTATTTTATGCCAGGTAGGTATATGTCTGAATCTGATGCGGAAGGAGGCGTGAGGGCCGAGGTGGCGTCGCTTTCGAGGAGGTCTCATGTCTTCCACCTTTGTCCCGCGTTGGGCCCTCCGCAGGGTCCTCTGTTCGTTTACGCTTGTTTGATTTATAAATCATAATTTTTTAATAACGATAATCAAATCAGTCAATAGTATTTTCGGTCACGGCTTAAATTCATAAATAATATTTTTCTCTCACACCAAATCAGTCAACGGTACTTTTAGTCATGGTTTAAACCGTACTTTTTTAAGCAACTAACAATATTTTTTTCTTACACCAAATCAGTCGACGGTTCTTTCGGGGCTTCTCAGCCAATCATGCCCAAAGGAACAGGCGGGCTGGGATGAGCGCCGCGTCCCCGCGTGTCGGCGGCACCTCCCAGACCGAATCATGCCCAGTTGCCCGCTTTCCATGAGACCTCCACTCCTCTTCCTCTCCATGCATGTCTCTCTACTGTTGGCGTCGATCCCGACCGATAACGGATGTGGATGGGGGCACCATTTCAGTATTATACATACATACATACTCCAATTTAGTATATATATTACCACTCTGTCTGTCTCATCCATTGAACTGCATTGGGTGGAGTATATAGTATTGTAGATACAAAACCATTATTAATATATTGTTTATGAAGTATTTAGTATATAAATACTTGACCCCACTTTTTGCTTTGCTTTCTTCTTTAATCGGACATGATGATCAAAGAAGAAGGAAGCAGAGATGCTGCTATAGCCTCCTCCTCCCCCTCCTCCAGTCCTCGGTCCTCCTCCTAGGCAAAGGCAGCTCTGCCTCCTCTGACTGAGCGCCACCAAGGAATTCAAAGGAAAGAGGGAACAAAAGGATCGGACGATGATGCCAAAGAGCGAGCGAGAAGCAGCAAGGCATCAGCACCATCCGGCTCTATCTCTTTCTCTTTCCGCAAATCAAAGCCACACACACCACCGTGCTTGCATGCATGCATGAGCCCTCTCCCTTTCTTTTTCCCTCTCTCTTTTTGTTAATATATATATGCTTGCTGCTAAAATGCTATGCCTGTGACCTTGTGATCGCCAGCCATTTTAAGCTTAAAGGCGCGCCCTTTTTCCCCTGTTCACGACCGTTGCTGTGTTCCAACTCCAACCGGGTTCATATATAAAAGTAACACATAGCAGGCTTCTCAAAGTTCAAAGTACTCACTGTAATTTTTTAGCTACTCTACATCTTCAGTTTGACAGTCCAAAGCGTGTGTTTGCTATTAAACCTCACCGTGCCGGAACTACCTCATGATCGCGGTACAGTACAGCTTGGGTAGGCTTACAAAAGTTCAGATCAGATCAGTAGTTGTGAGATGAATGGAGGCCCATATCCTAATTTTTCATCACAACCAACTGATCTAGCTCAGCTTTGATCTCTTGAACTTGGTTTATATATGAACCACAAGGAAAGTTTTTTTCCTACTTCCTCCATACAACTCCACAATTTTGACTGAACAGTTCAGTTACTGAACCACAGTTCAGTGTCTCCTGGTTTCAGTGAGTGGATACAGTTACAAGATGTTCAAACTGGACTGAACAACACAGTCGTCAAACTCAAATGAAAGGCGGTCAAAACTAGGGGGCAGATAGTGTAGGCTCAGCAGGCCTGCCCGTGCCTGGTAGATACCACCTTTCGCTTTGTTTCATCTCCTTCCATTCTCTTGGGGGAAGAGAAGACATCCTGCAACAAAGGAAAGCACAAAGTGTGGCCACGGACTATTTCCTTGTTCTTTTCTGATATAATCACACTACTACATTATATATATGTACATCTAAAGAAGCTTTCTTTCAGCTCCAACCTCCTAGCCTTCTATATGTGCAATAACCTTTGATTAGTTTCTACTATTACTATATTTCTCTTCTTTTGGCTTTTGGGTCACTAAAGCATGCAGACATGCATGTCCAGATGAGATTGATATAACAATACATGGGTTCTTGCATGCATTGCTTTCTCGAAAGCAGAGATGGATTGGGGGTGCAGTGCTTGCAAACCTGCAAAGAAAATGCAAAAGAGATCCTCTGGATGGGTGGATGGGGATGTTGCATGCAGCATTGTTGCTTTACTTGCATTGCACCCGGAAGCAAGGCAAGAATCCTCCAAGCACTGCATTGCATTGGGATCAGGGTCACCAGTTTATTTTAAACCTTGTTTGTGAAAAAAAAAGATGCATGCCAGCAGGCCTGAAAAAGATGCATGCATGGTAGGGTGGAGGATCACCAAAGGGGAAAACCTGAACTGTAGATGAAAAACACAATACAAGCGAGTGTTTGAAGCTGAAAAGAGGGTAAAGTAAAGTGAAAGCATCGCCAATGCCAGAGAAGAGAATCCATCCTTGTTTTGAGTGGCCCCCTAACCGTACCTGCAACTGCAAACAAACCTGTGTTCTTTACTTTTGTTAGTTACCCCATGGTAGAAGTAGAACAGAGATTTACCGCACAAATATCAAGTCAAGTGTGAAAACAACCCTCAGTTTTCTTTCTCCCCTAGTCGTCTAGTCATGTGCTCATGTGGGAGCGTGAGCAGCATGACAGTCTAGTATGGTCTGAACTGAACAGAGATTAGTAGTAACTAGGAACTGATGCGGTGTAGGTCAAATGGTAGACCCAGAAATACAACACAACCATCTGAAAACATGCCATTGCCTGACCCCTAAAGAGGTGACACTAGCATTCATAGTTTGACCCTCCATCAAAAGATTCAGAAGCTCCACCGGCACAGTGATTGTGAAATGCCATTTTCAGTGGCAGTCAAAGATTAGACTGAACCTAATGGCTAATGCAGATAGATGGGAAATGGTATGTTAACAGCAATACAGATAGGTCAGATGTGGACTGGTTCTTCTACCACCAAAGACAATTACGGGTTTAGATTGAGTCAAACTTCATTAATTTTGATCAAGTTCATAGAAAAAAAATATTAATACCTATGACTTCAAATATGTATGCAGTTAAAAATGTATTCTACAATTAATCTGATGATACTTATTCGTTATTATAAATGCTAGTACATTTTTGTATAGATTTGATCAAATTTAAAATTGTTTGACTCGTTGAAAATTGAGAATCACAAACTTTTGGGACGAAGGGAGTAGATAATGATCGGCACAAGCTAATCTGCAGCAGTAGTACTGACCGGTGAAAAACTCTGCTTCAGTATTAGTAGTCTGAAGAACACTGAATCTAGATGATAATTTCTGTGTCTGCCTGCTTTCGATGAAAATCCACACTAAACGGCGAAGAACCCAGTTTCTCTGAATTCTGAAACCTGATCCTGTCTTGGGAACACCGACTGAGGGTCCGTGCAAAGCTTGGCAATACGCCAATACCGATCATTCTACTCTGAATGTAGTTCAGTAGTTGGTGATCAGAAACTGTTGGTGTGCACTGATGGATGTGTTGTTGGCGTGCACTGTGCAGCTCAAGGACATGGTGCTGAAGCTGTCCGGCACGCACCGGCAGCATGGCGCGCAGCACAGGCGCGGCGGGTCGCCGCCACCTCGGGGCCGGGCCACCTCCCTGTACCGCAGCGGCTACTACCGCCCCGGCGTGGTGCAGGACGACATGGCCGTGCCCCCGGCCACGTACCTGGGCGGCAGCGCCGGCGTCACCGGCGCGTCGAGCGCGAGCTCCACGCCGGCGTGGGACCTGCCCGGCCGCGTGGACGGCGAGGCCAGGGAGTGGGTGGCGCAGGTGGAGCCCGGCGTGCAGATCACCTTCGTGTCCCTCCCCGGCGGCGCCGGCAACGACCTCAAGCGCATCCGGTTCAGGTCCGTTGCCTTGCCCGTCGATGTCGATCTGGCCGCGACTGACGGCCTGATTGGACTGATCACTGACGGCCTGTATGCGATCTGCTGCGATGCGTGCAGTCGCGAGATGTACGACAAGTGGCAGGCGCAGAAGTGGTGGGGCGACAACAACGAGCGCATCATGGAGCTCTACAACGTCCGGCGCTTCAGCCGACAGGTGCTCCCCACGGCGCCGCGCTCCGACGACGGCGAGGTCAGTCGCTGCCCCTCTGCCTGGCTGCTGCATGCATGTCTGTCTCATTCCCATGTCCCATGATGTGAACGTGTGATACGGTGACGCTGACATGTCATGCCACGCCACGTCATCGTTTCCCACCTTCCGCCGAACAAGACAAGAACAGACCTGTCGCTCTCCTCTCTCCCCCTCAAAATTTTGGAGCGGGAGCTGTCCGTCCTCTGCATGCATGCATCCATCCATGGCACTTTCGCATCGAAAGACGCAAAGATCAGAGCTTTATTAGTAGTAACAAAAAATGTTTGTGTTTCCTAGAGGGAGTCGTTCTACTCGCAGTCTCAGGCGGGGTCGATGATAGGGAGCCCCGTGGCCACCCCGTCGCCGGCGCCACTCACGCCGGAGAGGATCAGCTGGGGCGCGTTCGCGCGGCAGGTGGCGGCGCCGCCAGCAGGCGCCACGGGCGGCGCCGCGCGGCAGCACAGCTTCCGGCCGATGTCACCGCCGCCGCCATCCTCTTCCAACCCTTCGGAGCGGGCCTGGCAGCAGCACCAGCAGCAGCAGCAACAGAGCGGTGGTGGAGCGGCCGGCAAGAGCCCCGCCGCCTCCGAGGCCGCCACCGCTACAGAAGCGGCGCGGACGACCACGTCGTCCAGGGACGACGTGTCCGTCAGCAACGCCAGCGAGCTGGAGGTGACGGAGTGGATCATCCAGGACCAGCCCGGCGTGTACATCACCGTCCGGGAGCTCGCCGACGGCAGCCGGGAGCTGCGCCGCGTCAGGTTCAGGTCAAGTCCTACAGCGCTGATGATTAGTTCATTAGTTGTTACTGAGATTTTGTCACCGTGTCATTTGGCACAATGGTTACTGACAATGGAAGATTTGGTTTTGCACTTTGCAGCCGCGAGAGGTTTGCGGAGCTGAATGCCAAGGTGTGGTGGGAGGAGAACAAGGAGAGGATACAGGCTCAGTACCTTTGAAAACTCTGAACTGGAAGGAGACTGAAACTGAATTTTTATTCAGTTGAGCAGAAGCTGGTGATAAGTATGGTGCTGTGTAAGGGCTAGGAGTCAGACATATAATTAATCTGGTATAAGTATATATAGAGAGTTTATGTTTCAAGTTAATTTGGAGATGTGGGGAGAGATAGGGGGATTCATTTGAAGCTGGGAAAGCTAGGAGGGGATGAGAGGGGACAACAGGGAAAATATGTTCATGCATGTTTAGGGCACCTGACCTGGCAGTGGCAGCCCAGGTTACTTGTGATTGGTGTACCGTACTAAAGTTTTACCAATCCACCACTATTGTGTCTAATCTTCACTTTCCCTTTCTAACATGAGTACTAACACATCTTCTGATCGACTGATCTTATATATGTCACTCAGGGTAAGAAAAAACATGAGTGTATCTGTTTCTGCACTCACATGTATACAGTGCACAACAGATATACAGTGTGCGGTAACAGCAATCAATCGAAGATAAACCCACAACCAGGCATTGCCATGACAAGTTTTCTCAACAGCTGAAATGAACATACATACAAATCACTAATCATAAACTGACGATAAAACAGTTTAGCACATCCAAGGACTCTATTCTAGATACAGTTAGGAGAATCCATCACAACCGTAAGCATAAAACTGTACAATCCTAAAAAGATGGAGAACTGCAGAGAGACAGATAATGCGATAACACCTACAAACAGAACTATGCCTATGTTCAAACTGATTTGAGGCTGCTGGTAAGGCCATCAACCTGCTACCAACACGAGCAGCAGCATACACTGACAGCCTCACTTTGATGCAACCTTGCGTCCTTGCCTAAATGCAACCCTTCACATAAATTTAACAAATGTGAAGAGGGGTGATCTAGAACTTGATCAGATTTGGTGTCAAAATTTGATGCCCCTGGGAATGGGGATATGCTTCTAAATTCTACATTTGCTCTGCCTGTAAAATCTGGTAGGATCCCAGATCACTTCTCTTCAATTTTGCTAAAGATTGCAAGGATGTCCATAAAAAGACCAAGGGGGGTGCACAGGTGAGCATGACCTTGGTTATGACATTTTACCTGCTGATCGTGTATCCATGGATTCTCCAGGGTGTTCATGCAGACACTATATAGTAGTGAGGGGAACATGGCCATTCCTGCATTCCATGACAACAGCACTCACCGAACAGCAGATGTGTATGGAGACAGAAAGTACTCCCTAATGCGGGAGGCCCCATCCCTCGCTAGCATGCCCTCGAGGTCTCCAAGAATTCTTGCCAGCCAAATCTCCAAGCTTCGCTGGATTTCCTTGAAGTTATTCCTTATTGAACTTAGTGCTCTTCTTGTGCACATTTTGGCTTCTGCTGTTAGCTCATCTCCAAAGCTGCCTTTTGCAGTCTCTGCTTGCAGTGTGCTGAGCTTCTGCCTTGTTTCAGTTGCACGATGCTGAAGGTGAAATGCTTCCAGCAAGAATTCTGTTTGCCGCTGTGTTCTGAACTCTGAGTTTAGTGTTGAATCACAGGGGTCACTTGTTTGCTGCACAAATACATATCCATTAGTTTTCCTCCCCTGCTGCAATAGTAAATAATAGGAATTACCAGCATACAAGGAAAATGTCACTACTCCTTTTAAAGTGCTAAGCGTGATTTACTAATGAAGAAACTGTCATTTTCTTCAACACAAACATATCAATTAAATCCTTTTGTTTTTTAAAGAACTAGGTACAGTGCGTTAGTAAGAAGAGACATTTGAATTTAAATGCAACGACTACAAGCCATGCATAGACAGCCCCAGCACTATGGACCAGAACAAGAAACTAAGATATAGACGGCTGGAAACCACTGCTATCTTTGGACCATGTATTCATCAAATAATTCCAACCAGGTACAGATCATATAGACATATATCAACACATGAATCTTTTTGTTACATCATGGAAAATGAACTATTGAGTGATATATCAGGTACTTTGCATTCAACAAAAGCACAAAACTTAGGTAAATGCTATTTCAGATGAGCAGGCCTACCATTCGTTTGCAAAGATCATCAATTTTCCCAGCTAGAGTTTGATATCTTTTCACTTGTTTTCTCATCACCAATGGAATCTTGGACAAATCTCCATTCACTACCTTTTCCAGGTTAATTAGTTCCTGCTCCAGCAACCTAAGTTTTGCTGGAACTCCTGATGATTCTACATCCACTTTCCAGGGTGATTCTCTCCTGTTAAAGAACAATTGGCTTAGAGGCTGTAAATTATAAGTGGAATTTATTTCATGGCTAGGTCAACAAGCCATGTGCGTCAGTTAAATCTTTACCTAGGTACAGCATGCTTTGTGTTGAACGTTGACTCAACTGTATCATACTTCAGGTCCTACAAGATGCAAGTTCAAAGAGTCAAATACACAACCAAAAAAGGGGAAATGAAAATGGTCCTAGCCTATCAGAAATCAACCTTTCGAGGCAACCATTAATCATTCATGAAAATTGCTGAACCATAGCTTTCTTGATAAGTTAATTTTCCCATTGTTTTTGCAAAAGTTGTTCTATAGGTACCAGAAATGAGGAAAAAATCAGAGACTCAAAAACTAACATAAATAACCCAACTATGTCTACAACAGTGTCAACGTGCAGTGAGCAAAGAGAATTGTATTGGGATAAAAAAGCAAGAAGAAAACATTGCACTTTACAGTACTATAACAGTTTTTTGAAAACACAGGATAGCCACATGTTGCACAAGGATTTGAAAACACAGGATCCTTTGCATTACCAGACAGTCAAGCTTTTTAATCACCCAAATTCTTCAAAACAGTCATGGACTGAAAAGAGCATCAGCTTGTAAGAATGTGAAACATCCTTTCATTTTTTTTTCTTGAAAAACAATCATTACATCTGCATTTAGTAACTTAGTACAAATGTTGGTCATTTGCCATTGTATTGAATAGCCAGTAAGGATCACAGTGTTCTAGTTGGCTGCTGTTACTTCAAGTTGTGCATTAGAAACCCTTTTATTCATATATGGATATCAAGTAACTGACATCAGCACTGAAGTAACCACACATGGTAGCATGTGTTGCAGATGGAGGGTTGGGGGAGAGAGGATTTCCAGTTGCTAGCAATGTTAGCATTCCATGCTACTGCAGAGATATTGAAAAACAGAAGAAAAAAAACACTCACACACAGGAAATATCATTGAGAGATCAAGATTTGACAGGCCTATACAAGTATACAAGATTCGATCTCAGACCAGAAAAAATTATCGCTGAGGTATTTATCACTTGAATCTCGTATAAATAACCCAACACATAATTTCACACTAAGTGAAGTCCTTACATTTTTATGAGGTACACATAATTAAAAATGTCACTAAAATAATAGACACCTCCTCTTCCGTAGTCTACTACTTTGACCTTTGAGCCTTGAGGAACTTTCATATTTAACAATATCAAGCGCTGGTAGGTGACTATCCACAGGAACAATGAATTAGGTGATGCCGACAGGAGCAAATGACCTAACATGAACACAAAATTGACCCAAACCCTTTTGAGAAAACTTCACACTCGAGGTGCCCTAGGCCTTGTTTAGATGCCATCCAAATTCCAAGTTTTTTCACTCTCTCTCCATCATATCAATTTTTAGCCGCTTGCATGGAGTATTAAATGTAGGTAAAAAAAATAACTAATTACACAGTTTAGTTGGAAATCACGAGATGAATCTTTTGAGCCTAGTTGGTCTACGATTGGACAATATTTATCAAATAAGACGAAAGTGGTACTATTCATCGGGTTGAAAAAATTTGCAAAGAGAACAAGGCCCTAGAAAGAGATGATACCAAGTACCAATGTGGTTGTTAAAACTCAGTTGCAGATTAGTCAGTGATTCAATAAGGAAAGGGCAATTAAGCAGCAGTATGGGTTGAAATTTGAGACACAGCAATTTCAAAGCTTTCATTCAAGTTGCTATCCACTACCAGTTTGAGTTATTTGAAAGTGTGTGATCTGATGTGACAAAAGTTAATGATATCCTACCACCTATAAGCACCATGCCAAGCAATACAAGATTTCTAGCGAAACAACAAAAACAACAGATCAAGGATCAAAAAGGCGACGCCTCCTCTCCGCCTAGGCGCGCCTAATCGCTGGGTGATGGAGTCCCGCCTGGCCTATGGGGGTAGGCGGACCCCTAGGCGCTCCCATCCCCGCCGGACGAGCTCCTCCCCGCCAGGCGCTCGCATCCCCGCCGGACGAGCTCCTCCCGCCGAACGCCCTCCTCCCCGCCGGGCGCCCGCCTCCCCCTCGGGCGCGCTCCTCCCCGCCGGAGGTCCGCCTCCCCGTCGGGCGCGCTCCTCCCCGCCGGACGCCCCCTCCCGCCGGGCGCTCCCCTCCCCGCCGAACGCGCTCCTCCCGCCGGACGCGCCCCTCCCGCCGGTCAGTCCCCTCCCCGCCGGTCTCCTCCCTAAGCGGCAGCAGCCAGCAGGTCAGTCTGTCCTCCCCTGCTCCTCTCCTCTGTTTTCTTTGAACTTTGAAGTGGTCTGAATGACTGAATCTGAAGCCTCTGAATGACTGAATCTGAAGCCTGCTCCTCTCCTCTGTTATTTGACTGAATCCTTTGATGGCTGCATGAATGTATCTGTGATTGCCTGAACTCTGAATGAATAGCTGATTGACTGAATGACTGATGGACTGAATGTATAGCTTAGCTAGTTAGCTGATTGACTGAATGCATAGCTCAGCTAGTTAGCTGTCACTTACTCACTTGTTAGTTTACACGCTGAATGCAAAATTAGGAAAACGCCTCGAAAAACGCCTTGAAACGCCTAGGCTAGCCTAGGCTCGCTTAGGCTCTAGGTCATGGGTCGTCGCCTAGAAACCGCCTAGCGCCTTCTTGAACCTTGCAACAGATAAGAGTTAGCTTTCAATCATATGCGCACATATCCAAAGAAATGTGCAACAAACCAACATACATGAATATAAGAAACTAAATGGGTATGAAGACTACAGTTAGTCAGAAGCGTTTCCCATATACATGCATAGGTCTATAGGACTCGCCAATTATATGAAGTACCCTAAAAAGATACTAATCAGTCCTAAAATCAAAAGCATTTTGGTGGTGCTGGTTTTGTTTCAGTATTGCATTCTGACACGAAAAATTATAGGGGAACAAAGCACCAAAAAACTGACAGTGTTTCTTCATGTACACTTGTACAGTCAATTATTGAACTTAAGGGCATCCAGCGTCTGCACCTCTAATGTACAGTAGCAAATAAAGTCTGACTTCAGTGCACCATTCATCTTCTAGGGTTCCGCTCGCATGAGCAGCAACAGGGAGCCTGTGTGATTATAGGTTTCTCTATGGACCAGATAAGATTCAGGTGGCTTCGGTGGAGTAGATAACAAAAACCAGGTAGCTTTCTTGCAGGAGGCCTTGCCCCACAGATACAGTATCGGATTCTGTTTGATGGAGAGGTTATATCAAAGTGGTTGTTTGTCCGTTCTACTCTGCCGCATACTACTACATGGTATCGCTATCACAGTATCACTCATGGAAAGATGTGTATGCAGAGCAGAGCTACTGAGGATACTGGAACTTGCATGAACCAAAGCTAATGTGATTGATTGCATTAACACAAATGGAAAGAATAGAGTCAATCCGACTTGTACTAAAATCTACGGAGTACACTCATATCATTAGAAAGCAATGATAAAGCAATCCACCCCCATAGATTTGTGTCCTTTCTATTCTGAAGCTGGCAGGAGGTAAAAAGTGGAAAAGGGGAGGCAACTTTTTGTCGTGTCACAGACCTGCCAGCCTTTTGATCGGTCCATCTCCATCCACGGCGGCATTCCCGACGCGGCCGTGGCAGCCGTGTAGAAGTCGTCGTCGTGCTTCTGGCGCTGCTGAGCGTAGAGCGCGGCGGCGGCGGCGAGGGCCTCGGCGGCGGCGGTGTCAGCGGCGTGGTCCAACTGCTCCCCACGAGCGTCCTGCTCCTGCTCCCCACGCGCGTCGTGGCGCGCCCGCTCCTCCTCCTCCTCCTCCCCGTCGCGGGCGCGGAACAGGGGCCCGCCACCGCCGGAGTCCCCGGCGCGCGAGGTGGCCGCAAGGAGCGCGTTGAGCAGCTCGTCCCGCTCGGCGGCCTCGCGCTCGAGGCGCTCGACGCGGGCGCGCAGCGCGGCGGCGTCGGCGAGGCGCGCGCGGAGGGAGGCGGCCTCGTCCCCGGCGGCTTGGGCGCGGGCCAGGAGGCGGCGCTCGGCCTCCATCCAGGCGGCGCGGTGGCCCGCGAAGATCTCGGCGGCGCGGGCGTTGGCGCGGGCGTCCTCGCGGCGGCGCGCGCGGAGCTGCCGCAGCTGGTCCTCGGCGGCCAGCAGGCGCGACGCGAGGATGCGGCCCCGCGACTGGAGCGAGGCCACGTGGCGGGCGGCGGTGCCTGACGGGAGCGTGGCGAGGAAGAGCGCGAAGCTGACGCCGAGGTAGGTGGCGGGCAGCTGGGAGCTGGTGGAGTCCCCCGCGCCCGCGGGGCACCCGAAGTGGCGCGGCGGCGAGGGCGGTTTGGGCGCTGCCATTAGGGAGAGAGAGCGACGAGAGGGAGGCGGGGCGGCAGTGGCCGAGCCAGAGCCAGAGCAGCGGTGGGAGTGGAGTGGTTGGTTGGTGGGGTGGAGGTGGAGGTGGACTTGTGGATCTTGGGCCATGTGCAATCGACTCGAGCCTTTTAAATGGGTCGGCTACTAGGCTTGAAGAAGAAGGGCATGTATGTTTATTACGAAAATGTCCATGGCAGCGCAGTGTGGCCTTCAACAGTTCAAAAAAAACTAGTTTAAATAACTACTCAATCCGCTCTAAATTACAAGACGTTTTGGCTTCTCTAAATATATAGTTTTTCTATGCACATAGATATTGTCGGTGTTTCGAGTTACCACCGACGAGTAAATTTCTATTATTACGCATCTGACTCGGATGGTGTGCTTAGAGGACACGAGTTTTATACGGGTTCGGCAGAAAGTCCCTACGTTCACTTCATCGCTGCTGCTCGTGTTACTAGCACTGAAAGTTTATAGTAGGGGTTACAAACAGACGAGAGAGGGACAGATCCCAAGTCTCTAATGAAAGGAGTGAAAGGGTGCTGAGAGCTCGATTGCTGCTCTTATGTGTATCTAGATCTGATCGGTTCGCGGTTCGATCGGGATCCCTTTTCAGGGGACGTCCTGCTTTCTCTTTTATAGGGCAAGAGAAAGCACGGGTTACAACAGAGAAAAAGAAGAAGAACGAGAGAGGAAAGCTTTCAGGATTGTCAGGTCCTTCTTCTTCTTCATGCGGGTCCCGCTGACCCTGTAGATGTCAATAGGGACAGCTCCACATCGCGGCCCTGTTTGTCACTGGCGCCACGCGTAGGCGTCGTCTGCCGGTCATGGCGTTCCATCCCGTCTTAGCAGACGTCGTGATGAACTGACGCGCATGTCACCGTTCGTACGAGGGTTAGGCAGAACAGCACCGGCACGCCCGACGCTGTTCTTGATGTGAACCCTCTGTTATGGCCCGTCATGGCCACGGGTTATATCGAGGCATGCCAGTCTCTTCCCTAATGTCATAGTCTTGACCTAGGCCCATACGCTTGGACCTAGAGTCGTTGGCGGCGGTATGGGTTTCCATCGGGCGAGACGGACTACGAACCCAAGGGGTCGGACGAGACGGAGCCCACACCCATAGGGTCGGGCGAGGCGGAGCCCGTCCCAGAGGTCGGGCGAGACAGAGATCGTGGCCTCGGGGTTAGGCGAGGCGGAGATCGCGGCCTCGAGGTCGGGCGAGACGGAGCCTGCCCCTAGAGGTCGGGCGAGGTGGAGCCCGAGGCCTCGGGGTCAGGCGAGGCGGAGCCCTCCCTCAGAGGTCGGGCGAGGCGGAGCCCTTCCTCAGAGGTCGGGCGAGGCGGAACCCGCGCGCCTAGGGGTCGATTGGAGCTGTAGTCACGCTTTTAACTGCTCGCATGAATCAATATTAATGACCATTAGCTCTTCCTCTTCGGGTACCCTAGTATTGGTCCCCGATAATAGCCTCCGAGCCTGTGGAGGAGTAGAATACTCCTTCGGAGGCTTTTCCGAACGGGAGGACTCCGAGGGCCTTGGCCTTCTTTTGTCGCCCACGGCGTGACCTAGGGACGATGATTCCCTTTCGTCGTGATCGGACCCCTTGGGGGTATAGCCGTGAGATTTGGTGGGTCGGAAAAGATCTTATTTGTGATCGTCTTCCCTCAAACGTTTTTTCTGATAAAAATAGAGGGGCTGAGCCGTGCCATGATTTTCCTCCATGGACGAATCATGGTGCTCGGTGAGCTGTTAACGGGCTGGTCCGAGTAGAGGCTCGACATCCCATTCACGGGGATCCGGCTTGGGACAGCTGGTGACCGAATCCAGATTCTTAGCGTCAATCCATATAGTTTTCGGGCCCGTTCAACCGGTCCTGAGGGCTCTCTGCCTTTCTTCGAGGAAAAATCATGGATCGTATCCGACCGAGACTCGAACATGGGCTAGGATGCCCGCGACATTCGTGCTCCCGGGTATTGGCCGCTAGCGGGCCTATCCTTTTCCACCCCTCACTCTATAGGCGCCCAGAGCGGTTGTCGAACCCATCGGTGGGCCAACCTTCGAAATCCTGGGCCTAGACGGACCGTAGGAGTGTTTTCAGCTCTATATCCCTCTTACCTGTGATGGGTCGTGGCCTGTTCTGGGAGGCGAAACGTCCGGCGAGTTTTCCGAGAAGACGGCCATAGGTTGCGTGCGCACACCCCGCGACAAGACGTGGTGACAGGTCGAGGCTAGCGTGGAGATCTAGGCGGGCGATTGGTTTTCTCGCACTCATTGCCCCTATAAAACCAAAGGGTTAGCCCTCTGGGTTTCATATGTTACATCCTTGCCTCCGCAACCATGCCTCCGCCGTCGCCACCATCGCTTAGGTTTCCTGCCTCCGCGTCTCTGCCGCCGTTGAGCCCGCATCCATCCGTCCCCACCTCTAATGGATCTGTGGTGTCGTTCTGACATCACCTTCCAGCGCATGGAGGGCCTCATCCATCGCGGTCTTCTCCGCGCGCGGACCTCGGCCGAGGAGTGGTTGCTGCCCGGCGATGAGGATTTGTCGTCACCGCCCGACGGCTACGCGGTGTCGTTCGCCCACTTCCACGAGCATGGGCTTGCGACCCCTGCCCATAAATTTCTTCGAGGGCTACTGCACTACTACAAGATTGAGATGCAACATCTCAATCCCAACAGGATCTAGCACATGGTAGCGTTCATCACGCTGTGCGAGGGATTCCTGTGGATCAGCCCCCACTTTGACTTGTGGTGGCATTTCTTCGTCGTCAACCTCTAGAAGAAGAGGGAGAAAAGCGGTAGGCATGAGCTGCACATGCCGATGGGGTGCGCCAACATCCAACTTCGGAACAATCGGGTCGGCTAGTACCCGTCCATGCGGCTCTTGACGTCCAACAAGGGGTGACACTCGCAACGGTTCTACCTCAAGAATGACACCGCCGCCCCTCTGCCGGAGTTCACTGGATGGCTGATTGAAGAGCCCCTAGAGCAGTGGAGGAAGTAGGGCATCCTAGAGAAGGACAAGAAGAAGATCCGAGACCACATCACCGCCATCCACGTCCTGAAGGAGAACGACCTGAAGGGGTCAGGCGTCATCAGGGCTTACCACGCAAGGAGGGTGACGCTGTTGATGACGTGCGCGCTCCCGCTATACGTGAGGGCGCCCAAGGCATCGATTGATGGAACGGCGCTCGCCGAGGTAATGCTCCCCAACTCCGAGATCGTGCAACACATCAAGGAGACGATGGAGCCTTTGCGGGACGACGCGGGTGCTGCCCTCGACTTCATCTATCTGATGCCGGGACATCCTCCGATGCGCCCAAAGCCAGGCTACATTGTCTTTATAAGTTTCCATTTCTCTTGCCTTCTCTTCAATTGATTTGTCGACCCCGTGACACTAACTTTGAGAGGGGCGGGACTAGCCGAGGGATCTCATCCGCACGGACCACTCGGCGCCACTGCTAAAGGATTCAACCGTGAGGACAGCGAATCGTGCCAAGGGCTAGCGACTGAGGAAGGCGAAGGAGGACAAGAAGAGGAAGAAGCAGCGAAACCTACAGGCGTGAGAACGAGAGGAGGACACCGACGACAATGATGACGATGACGATGGTGACGACGATGAGGTGATGGAGGAAGAAGAGATGGTAGCCGATGATATTGAGTGGGATAGCCTTGAGAACGAGGATGTGGTGACAGGCGTTGGTTCGTCCTTGTAGGCGTCGGGACCCTTCCCATTCCATGAAGGGGAGGGCACGTCTGGGGAGCCGGCGGAGGCAGGCCGTACCGTCGGCGCCCCTAGGAACCGGCGGAGGCGGGGCATAGCGTCGGCCTGCCCCAGGAGCCAATAGAGGCGGACGGCTCTGCCATCGCGCCCAAGGTGCCAGCGGAGGTGGGAGGCTCCACCATCGCACCTCAAGAGCCAAGGGGAGAGAGCCCCTCTTCCTAGGAGCAGGGTGTGGGCTCGAAACGGCCTCGTCCCGATGAGGCAGAGCGAGAGTCGGGGAGTTCACCCAACAAACACATCTGCCGTCTGACGATGCTGAGGTGAGTTATCAGTTTCTCTATTTTTTCATGTTTTAGTCAGATTTCATCGTGACTTATGTTTTTCGTCCCTTGCAGCGTCGGCAGGTAGCGAAATCCTTTGGCGCAGGCGCTGAAGAAGAGCATTGCCCTCCAATCGAGGCGGCAACTATCGGCTGGTGTCACACCCGTTTTGGGCAGGAGCGGCGCCAGTGTGACCGCGTTGTCGAGCGGTCGGGTGCCACCCACGGTGGAGCCCGTGCCCTCAGCGAGATGGGCGGACATGGGCGCTCAAGGGGCGTCCTTGGAGGTTGCGGGGCAGCCGATGATGGCCACGAAACCGCTGCTGATGGCGGGGTGGATGGGGCTGCCGAGGTGGCGGGTGCAACACAGCCGATCATGACCCCACCGAAGTAGGTGGAGGTGGCGGTGGCCATGACAGACGGGTCATAGCCAAGCGCAACCGCAGCGGCGCCTGAGGCACCGGCGTGACCCATACCATCGGCGGCCCAAGCGACGGTGCTTGGCACAGGCTGGACGGAGGGGGACGTGGCCGAGTTGTCCCCGGGAGTCATGGTGCGGGGAGAGGGGTTGGCGTCCGCACCGCTAATCCCTTCCGACGTTGGAGGGGGCGTCCCGGTGGGGACGTCACGACAAGAGGGGTTGACGGCGCTTGGAGCCAGCGGGGAGTCATCCCTGGCCCTAACATTAGTGGGCAGCGGCTCGCCCACGCGGGGTGAGCCCCTACTCTAGTGGGCAGATCTGCAGGATCTAGCATCGACGCTTTTCACCCTCGATGACGCCGCAGAGAGCATGGAGCGAGAGAGCATTACGCGATGTTGTTGTTCCCTCCGGCCAGGTATTGTTTGGTCCTGCTTCTTGCGCTTATCTTCCTTTATATACTTTTTGTGTCTTGACCATCGTCTTTCTACAGTCCCTTATAGTTCGTAGCCGGGGGAAATCTT